ATCAGCATGCCTGGTTTTCTGTAAGTCACGAGTGAAACATACTTGACCGACATTTAGTGGTCCGTGCTTTCCTATCTAGTTAGGTGAGGGGTTTCAGTAAACCCGCTCTTTTAAAAATTCCAGAGTAACATCATCTAGGCTAGTCTAACTAATTAAGTAAATTTAGAAGTAGGTATAACTTGTGGAATACCTCAGAAAGAAATTTCCACTCTGGACGTCCCAGAGAGACAACTGCTTTATCTTTTTAATTCGAAATTTATCTTATGACTTTGTTTTTCTCAGCCTTGCATTTTCTCATACCATTTTACTGAATCTCGCTGTGCAGACCTCACCGCGTCGAAGTGTTTTTAAATTTACCTCCCTCCCTCACCTCCTTACTTCTAGCTGCAAGTCTGGCAGCTGCATCACGTCTCAGCAGCCTCCATTAAGGAATTCTGCAAGAAGTTCAGACACAAGTTCACCAAGCTGAACATCCTCGTGCTGAACAGTGTTTACATGTCCAAGACCTTCGACAAGACTGTCGATGGACTGGAACGTCACATTGGCCTCAATTTTGTCTCCAGTTACCTGCTGGCGGAGAACCTTTTGCCGCTTCTACGACGTTCATCAACTGCAGCACTCACCTCGCGTCTGGTCTTTGTGTCATCGCGCCTACACGCGTTTGGAACGCTGCCAGAGGGCTTGACGGAGCCGGTGCCGCCGCTGCCCCAGTCATTTGATTGGTGGAAAGCTTACACCTCCAGTCAGCTACTGACCGTCACCTACGCCAGCTACCTCAAGAGCCGGGATACCCAATCAAAAGTCGCTATTGCCGTGGTTCATCCCGGCTTGGAGGCCGGATTAATCAACAAGGTCTTCTGGAAGGTCAGTGTGGGGGCAGGGGAAGGGGGCAACACGCAGCTCAATTTCATGCATTCAGTGAGAACTTAAAAAGAAGACGTCAGACCATGTGCCGGAGAGCCTGAGTGCATTGCACTGACGCAATATAAAAACACGTGCGGGGTGACGTCTTTC